AAAAAGCGGAACCGGAGAGCGGAGAATTCACCTTGGGGAAAACCTAAAGAGTCTCAGAGGGCGGGACACAAGAGAGACCAATCAAAACCCCCCAAACAAAAGCGATTGGTAAATTAATTAAGCCAATTAAACAAGCTCTAGACTGGCGCGGCTTTTGAATAAGGTGTTCTGCAGGATCGAACTGCACGGTCGCAGTATACTAACAAGCTAAAATTAGCACATAATTCCAAGCGACTTGAGAAAGAGCAATAAGTATAACTTAAATTACGAAATGCCAAAGGAAGAGATTGAATTCAAGGAAGGCTTAGAGGATTTATATCACCAGCTAAGTTGAAAGGGAGAATTATGAAAGATCTTCGAAGGGAATAAGAATTCTATCCAACTGTTCATCGGGTACAGATTTCCTTACATTTTCCACACCCATGGATCTCAAGGGTTCATAATCTTATAGCTGAGCAGACTGCAATAGAAGAATAAGAGCGTATAGATACAGTGGGATATAAGCCTTACCCCCAAAGGTTTAGGGGCCTCCCTTCAGAAATCAGTATGTGGGTCATAATTAAAATAAGACTGGGGCAGAAAGCAATGGGAGAACATGTACCATGTGGTCCAGGGTTCAATCCCCAGCACTGACAATAACACCAACAGAATGAAGGTGGTCCTGCTGGCAACTGGGTTGAAGAAAATGTATAGTAGGAAATAAAACTGGAAGAGGCTGAATCTGAGTGGAGTTTAAATAATAAAATTATCTTTTTGTTTTAAATGCTGTGTGATTTGTCCTTGAACAGAAGCATAACCTAAACTGGGAATTGTTTGAGGAAGAGTAACTAGTAGCTCACAGAATCTCTAAAAGGCAGTACTCCAGCCCAGTTCTCTTGGCCTGATCAGAATCATTCTGACATAAATTATGTGCTGCCACCTGGTGGCAGTTCAGACGCTGTTCCACCGTTGTCCTTTAACATTTCTGTTGAAAGATTTGGCACCCTTGCAAGTGTGTCTCTCATAGAGCTTGAGACAAACAGTTGATAATTACGACTGGTAGCAATCAGAGTTAAACAATACCATCATGCCAGATGAATTATCTGCCCAGTAAAAGACAAAGAGAGGCTTGGTGGAAAGGCGTGTGTTAAAAGTGGGTATAAATAACAAAATTTTTAAAAAATTTGGGGCTGAAGATGCAGTCCATTTGGCAGAGTATTAGTATGCATGAAGCCCAGAAGTGGTGGCACATTCCTATCAACCCACCATCCAAAAAGTGGAGACAGGATATCAGGAGTTCAAGGTCATCCTCAGCTAGATCACAGAGTCAAGGCCAGCCTGGGATACTTGATACCTGGCCTCAAAATAAAAAATATTAAATAGAGGAAGGAGGGGAAATAACACAGTGGATACAAGTAGTTGCCATGCAAACACGAGGAAGAGTCTGTAATCCCAGCACTCCTGGGAGGTGGGAGGCAAAGACCAATACCAAAGTTGTCTCCTAATCCCAATATGTACACTGTAGCATGAATGCACACACACACACACACACACACACAGTCATGTACACAAACAAGCCAGGTATGGTAGTATATACCTATAATTCCAACACCTTGTGGGTGGCAACAGGAACAACAAAGCCATCTTTGGCTATATAGAGAGTTTGAAGCCAGCCTAGACAACACAGGATTCTGTCATATACATACCAAAATAAATAGCCGGGTGGTGGTGGCACACGCCTTTAATCCCAGCACTTGGGAGGCAGAGGCAGGCAGATTTCTGAGTTCGAGGCCAGCCTGGTCTACAGAGTGAGTTCCAGGACAGCCAGGACTACACAGAGAAATCTTGTCTCAAAAAAAACAAAAATAAATAAATAAATAAATAAATAAAATAAATCTGGATCTGAAGCTCAGTATGATATCACTGTATCACTTGTAATCCTGGCAATCAGGGGACTCAGGGAGGATTGAAACAAGTTTGAAGCCAATCTGAACTACACAGAGTTTTGAGCCAGCCTAAGCTACAGAATCCATATATAATACATAAAAAATAAAAACAAGGCTGAAGAGATGACTCCACAATTAAGAGCACTGACTGCTTTTGCAGAGGATCCTGAATTTCCAGCATATATATATATATATATATATATATATATATATATATATATATATATTAACTCTAGTTAACTCCAGTTCTAGAGGATCCAATGCTCTCATCTGGCTGCAGTGGGTACCAGACAAGCACATTGGTACAGACATACATGCAGGCAAAACACCCACTCACATGAAATAACAATAAACAAAACCAAAAAACCTCTCCTCCCCCTTCCCTCTCTCTCTGACAAAGTGCTGGCTGGTCTTGAACTCAAAGATCCACCTGCCTCTGCTTCCCTTCCCAAGAACTGGCATTAAAGATGTACACTATCATACCCACTGAGAGAGCCTACCTCTGGCTACCACATATTAATGCTCAGCATAATCAGGTGCAGGTGCACACATGAGCTCACACACACATGCACACACGCACAAATGAAAGAATGTGGAAGACATCCCTAGTCAATGTCCTAGGCCCTCTCCCTATAACATTGGCTATTAGTTGGGCCAGAGATTTAGATATACCCTGTTACTAAAAGTAGCTTCCACTTTACTACCTCATCCTTTTATTATTTTTATTTCAGATAACGCTCTCCTTTTGCCAGACTGAACTAAGAGTTGGAACTTTCCCATAAGCTGACTGCACATCTTAACTCCAAGCAAATGCATACAAAGACATAATTGGTGGGTGGATGGCATTATCTTTTGTCTACAGTTACCACTGGAAGAGGCCTCAGGAGGTCTCTGAAATGCTACTGATTCTTAGGAAATCTTGAACCCTCTAGAACATAAAGTCCAGGAAAGAAGAAAGTAAAGCTGCCCTAAGATGCCTAAGAAGATACAACTTTCAAACTGTTTAGTTCTCTTTCAACTTGACACAAGAAACGCTTATCTGAGAAGTGAGAATCTCTCTCTCTTTTTTTTTTTAGAGATGTATTTGTTATGTATATAATGTTCTGCCTGCATTCCAGGAGAAGGCACAAGATCTCATTATAGATGGTTATGAGCCACCATGTGGTTGCTGGGAATTGAACTTGGGACCTCTAAAAGAGCAACCAATGCTCCTAACCTGAGTCATCTCTCCAGCCCAAGAAGTGAGCAAATCAACTGAGACAATACCTCCATCGGATTGGTCAGTAAACAAATCTATGGGGGCATTTTCTTGATTAATGATGGATATGGAAGAGCCCAGTTCACTATGGGAGGTGCCACCCCTAGGCAAGTGGTACTAGATTATATAAAAAGACCAGCTGAGCAAGCCAGTAAGCTGCCCTCCTCCATGTCAGTTACTGCCTCCAGGTCCCTGTCTTGACTTCTCTTCAGGATTGAATGATGGATTATAAACTGTAAAATACATCTTTTCCTCCTCCAGTTGTTTTTAGTACTTTGTCACAGCAATAGAAAAGTAAGGTAAGGACCAAAATGCTAGCCATGCCATTTTATTTTGTTGTCATTATTGTTGGTTTTGAGACAGGGATGTCTCATGCAGCCCAAGCTGCCCCCAAACTCTAGATCCTTTTGTCTCCACTTCCCCAGTGCTAGGATTACAGCTATGTACCATAACCTTATTTATTTATTTTTAATTATTTCAGATAACTCTGTGAAATATGCATACGGCGTTTTTTAATGAAATTGATGAGAAATGGACCAGTGGTATAACATAACACTCTTCAGCATTTAATGAGGCCCTGGGTTCAACAGTCCCTGCCACTACAAGGAAAAGGAAGGTGGGTGGCAGCAAGAAAACAGCTTGCAAACTAGTTGTGTTGGTAGCACACACCTATATTTTAGAATTTATGTTTTAGCAAGAAGATCAGAAGGTTCAAGGTCACTGTGGTGGCTTGAATGAGAAGGGCCCCCACAGGCTCATAGGTTGAACACTTGGTCTCCAATTATTAGTACTCTTCCATAAGGATCAGGAGGTGTGCTCTTGTTGGAGGTGTGTCATTTGGTCATTAAAGTTTCAAAAGATCTTCCAGACCTTGTGTATTCTCTCTCTGCTTCCTGTCTATGGATGGGATATGGTCTCAGCTTCTGCTCCAGTCATGCCAGCTGGCCAGCTGTAGACATGCACCTCACCATGACGGTGATGGGCTCCCAACTCTGTGAAACTACAAGCCTCAAGTAAACTCTTCCTTCTATGAGATACCATTTTATCACAGTATTAGGAAAGTAACTAAGACAGTCAACTTCACTCAAAGCCAATCTGTGTGACATAAAATCCTACCTCAAGGAGCTGGAGAGATGGCTCAGTGGTTACAAGCACTAACAGTTCTTCCAGAGGTCCTGAGCTCAATTCCCAGCAAACACACAGTGGCTTACAACCATATGTAATAGGATCTGATGCCCTCTTCTGGTGTGTCTGAAGAAAGCGACAGTATGCTCAAAAAAATAATCCTGCCTGCCTCAAAAAATTAAAAATGAGGCTGAAGAGCTGGCCCAACAGTTAGGAGCACGAGCTACTCTTTGATGGCCAGCATCTGTATGGCAACTCCCTGTCATGTATAACTCCAATTCAAGAGGATCTGATACCCTCTTCTGGCCCCTGAGGACACTACACACAGGTGGTGCATAGATATACATGGAGGCAGAATATCCATATACATAAAATAATGCTTAAAAATAAAAATAATACAATTCGAATCATGGAACTCTTTTTTTTTTTTTTTTTTGGTTTTTCGAGACAGGGTTTCTCTGTGTAGACCTGGCTGTCCTGGAACACACTCAGTAGATCAGGCTGGCCTCGAACTCAGAAATCCTCCTGTCTCTGCCTCCCAAGTGCTGGGATTAAAGGTGTGTGCCACCAATGCCCGGCGGAACTCTTTTTTTTTTTTTTTCAATGTGGAGTCCAGGCTGGCCTCAAACTCCAGATCCTCCTGCTTCTGCCTCCTTCAGCAAATCCTACCAGCCTGTGAAACCAGAACCAGCCATGGAACTCTTTATTTCCTCATGAAGGTTTAGCAAAAAATACTGTTTGCCTGGGTTGTAGCAGCGCAGACCTTTGATCCCAGGACTAGGGAGATAGAGGCAGGAGAACCTCAGAGAGTTCAAGGAGAGCCAGTTTCCAGGACAGCCAGGGCTACATAAAGAGACCCTTTCTCAAAATAAATAGAGATTTTGGTTTTGTTTGTTTGTTTTGAAGATGACTCAATTTCCGAGAAACTGAATTGTAAACATACAGATTGGGCTACTGAGGGTGTGGAGGTATGGAAAGGCAGGAGTAAGCCTCAGTAGGCAGTGTGACTGACTAGATCTAGTGCCCACCACACTCCCCTCTGTAATCTCTTCAATACTGCCTCAGCCCAACATCCTAACCCATTCTACTCATCAAACAGGAGAAATAATTTCTTTCCAAGTTCACTGGAGCTCACAGCCAAACGTGTATCTATGAATGGCATATTTCAGAGGCAAAGGTCACAGGAACCAGTTAAATAACTAGAAGGAAATGTATGGTCCAGTCTATCCCATGGGTAAAGATTTATAGAAAACACATCAGGGAGAATTAAGCCACTTTATTTTCAATTAGCTGGGGAGCAGGAACAGCTGGACAGTGAGATGCCTCCATCTGTAAAGAGGGCACATACCAGGGGGATGAGAAGGCTGCCTTGAATAGAAGCTGCATCTCATTTTTCTCACAAGTTCTCACAGTCACTCTGGAAGATCTTGGGGCCCTGAAGGAACAGGTCCCCTTGCCCAAGACTCCGGGCATGAAACCGAGAGCTGCCGAGTTCCAGGTCAGGAACAGAGTTGTTCTGGAGTTCTAAGACGATGGAAAATAAAATAAAATTAAAAAAAAATAGCAAGATTGATATGCATAGAACTAGGTCCTGGACCTCCCTGGAAAAGACACACAAGCCTGTTTTACATGTGCTGACTCTATGGTGGTTTCTGACTGTTATCTGTACCTGTCTCCCTGCTGAAATTAAGGGGCTGAATGAAAATGTGGTGGCACATGTCTATAATCCTAGCACCAAGAACTTGAGGCAGGAAAATTTTGGGTTCAAGACTAGTCTGGGCTATATAGCAAGCCTGAACTACAAAACAAAACCTGGATTTAAATAAATATTAAATAATAATTACTTTGGTTTCTCTTCAAATCACATAAACTTTTTGCCTTTTACTAAACAAATATCAAATAATAAAGTAGCTTTACTCTCCCTTATATATAACACAGGTGGATGGATTCAGACAATGCCAAACAATTAGCTGCATTCAGGTGTCATTCAGAGTCTATCCTTACCCCTATCCAGTTTCTTTAAGAGTTCCCAGCTACGGTCACAGTCTGGGAGACTGACTTCAGAGCTAGATGAAGAAAGAGACATGGCGAAGACAGTGGCCAGAGGCAGCTTAGATTGCTGGGCATGAACAGAGTTCCTAGAGAGAACATTCAGAGGCAGAGATGATGGATCTAAGATACTCTTCCAGCATAAAACTGTCTTCTGGCTGGGCAGTGGTGGCTCACGCCTTTAATCCCAGCACTTGGGAGGCAGAGACAGGCCAATTTCTGAGTTCGAGGCCAGCCTGGTCTACAGAGTGAGTTCCAGGACAGCCAGGGCTACACAGAGAAACCCTGTCTCGAAAAACCTAAAAACAAACAAACAAACAAAAAAAAAAACTCTCTTCTGTTCTGAGGCCAGGATTCCAGCCCACCCCTCTCCATTATCGATCAGACATATAAAGATATACCAAAACTCTGAATCAAATGAAGAATGTCTAACACTGGGGCCAGAAAGATCGCTCAGCTGATAAACATGCCTGCCACCAAGCCTAACAACTTGAGACTGATCCTCAGAACCCATATGGTAGAAAGAGAGAAATAAATCCTACTAGACCTCTGACCTCCACATGCACTTCATGCTACATATTCCCACAAATATGCAGACTAAATAAATAAATAAAATACAAAAAAATTTTTTTTTCAGTAATACATGTGGCCATAATAGTAACCTGTTGTTCAGTTGCAGGAAACAAAGACAGCAGGCTGGTGAGTTTGAGGTCAATCTGGGCTACCCAGTGGAACCCATCTCAATAAAAATAGATAAATAATCTCAAAAAACCAAAAAAATAAAAAATAAAAAAATAAAAATAGATAAATAAAAAAATAACTGAGTCCGGTAACATAACCTGTAACACCTGCACTTCAGAGGTAGATCAGGAGGATCAGGAGTTCAAGGACAGCCTAAGCTAGACTATCCAATGCTGTCCTTATGAATAAAATCCCAGATACTCAGACTGACCATCTCAACCAATCCTGGTCAAATTTAGAATAGCTTAACTTTGCTTGCCCTCTATGACACAAATCCCCTCTACTGGCACAGCACACAACGTCTGACCTGAGGAGGCAGGACTTGTCCTTCTGGGCATCATGGGCCTCTGTCCTGGTAACCTCCAAGGCAGGAACCTTGTCCATCTGGTCACTCTGTAGGTGTTCCAACATCTGCCGGACCATGGTGCAGAAGGGGGGCTAGATCTCTCTCTTTCCAAGGGAAACTCCCTCCCACAACTCCCTTCCTTGACACATGAGAACCTACATGTGGGCAAGGACAGGGAGTCACGTTTGCAGCAGAGACTGGGGCTGCTTCGGAGAGATGTGGAATCAGCACTGGAAATAATGAAAGATCCAGAGATGGAGGTGGAAGAAGATACCTAGGCCCTTTCTGTAGAGCAAGACAGACACGGACCGCAAAGATGGGGACTCTTCTTTTTTTTTTTTGGTTTTTCGAGACAGGGTTTCTCTGTGTAGCCCTGGCTGTCCTGGAACTCACTCTGTAGACCAGGCTGGCCTTGAACTCAGAAATCGGCCTGTCTCTGCCTCCCAAGTACTGGGATTAAAGGCGTGAGCCACCACCGCCCGGCAAGGATGGGGACTCTTAAGATGTGGAAACTAATCTAACCCTCTCCTACCTTCCAGCTTCGGGCCTGAACCTGGCGGCCCTCGGCCATCTGTTTCAGCAACAACTCCTGATGTTGGCCTGAAAATGAAATGGATTATCTCCTACTTCATTCCTTCACCTCCACTGTCTTGTGACCAGACTGGTGGGAGAAACAAAATACGTTTTGGTCCAGCAGCTGGAAAGATTCCACGCTGATGGGAAAGACAAACTGACATGAGCGACAAAGAGCAAAATAAAATATTTTGCCCAAGGCTACAGGTGTAGCTTGGTAGTAGAGCACAGGCTTAGCAAGTAAGAAGTCTTACGCATTTGATACCCAACATCACACAATATTTAAATCATAAAATAGCCAAATAATAGTAACAATTAATAATAATAGCAATAATAATTTGCCTAGCCAGGGATGGTGCCACATGCCTTTATCCCAGCACTTGGGAGCCAAAGGCAATGAGTCTCTATGAGTTCAAGATCAGCCTGGTTTATATAGTGAGTCCCAGGACAGCCAAGGCTATGTAGAAACCCTGTCTCAAAAAAGGGGGATGGGGGTATGTGTGCTAGAGAGATGGTTCTGTGGTTAAGAACACTGGCTGTTCTTCCAAAGGACTCTGGTTCAATTCCCAGCATCCACATGGCAGTTCATGACTATCTGCAACTCCAGTTCCAGGGGGTCTGACACCCTGCCAACAGACATACATGCAAGCAGAACACCAATGTACATGAAATAAAAATAAATTAAAAAAAATAATAAAAATGATATGCCAGACTTTTCAATAGCTCAGTCAGGACTAAGGTCACTTACTGGAAGAACAAGAAGATATTCCAATAACAGGAACAAGAAAATACTCTCAGTCTTTTACTCACTTAGCTGGTCTCGAAGCAACTTCAGTTCCTCCCGAAGAATCTCTGACTCTTCCCACAAAAGTTGGTGCCTACATGAGTGACAGCAGTGTCATTCTAGAATACAACAAACCCAGAATGGCTGGAGATTACAGCTCAATGATAAGGGCATCTACCTAGCATGTACTGGGGCCAGGGTTCAATATCCAACATCGCAGAGAAACAAAGTGAGGAGACCAAACATCTTATGCTAAGAGCTCAGAAGCCTCAAAAGAGGAAGCCTTGGGCTAGGAAGATGGCTCTGTGGTTATGAGAACATGTTACTTTTAAAGAGAACTTTGATTTCTAGTATTCACATGGTGGCTCAAAATCATCTTTAACTCCAATTCGAGGGGATTCAATAGGCATGCATGCGGTATATATACATATGTAGGTAAAACATTTATACAGGTAAAATAAATATTTTTTGTGTCCCTTTTGTTTTTTCTGAGACAAGCTCTCTCTGTAGCTCTGGATGGCCTATAGCTCAATATGTAGAGCAGGCTGGTCTCAAACTCATAGAGACTTGCTATCCTCTGTCTCCTGAGCACTAGAAGTAAAACTGTGTGCCACCAAGAAGCATATCTTATACAAACAAAAGGATGAAGTCTTGCCCATCACTTACTCACTCTGCAGCTCTTGGTGAAAGCCACTGGTAGTGCTGAACTTTCCTGGTTTTGTTTTCATTTGGGTTTGGACTAGCTCTTGAACCTGACTCCGAAGGCCCTGCAATTCCTTTCTCAACCCTTCCAGGCGTTGCTCCAGAAGGGCTCTCCCTTTTGGGCCCTCCTGCAGCAGTTTTAGTGATGCTGTAGTGGGAAAAGTAAAGGTCGTCTGCTCTAAGAGATTCACATGAGAGCCCAAACACATATATAAAGCCACATTAGCACATACATAAAGCTGTGTGGGGCTGGAGAGAAGCTCACCCACTCACTAAAAGGCCAAGCCTCACAACCAAAAGCTGTATGTAGAGCAGTGGTAGAGCACAGTTCATTCAGCATGTGCAAAACTCTTGGTTTCCATTTTAAAACTCTGTGTGCTGTACATGAAGAAAAGAATTGGCCCAATACCTTCTAGAGCTCTGATCTTGAACTTCTGCTGCTCCCGATCCTTCAACAGCCTCTGCACAGAATGCCTTAGAGCCTCCGTCACCTACCCAAGCAGAGAAAACCCAGACATTCCTTTCTAAGTCATCTTCCCAACTCCTGATACTATCATCTCACGTTAACCACATACAAACTCCTAACGCCTCACCTGAGCCTGAGTCTGAAGCTGGGATCGGAGTTTAGTAACTTCATCCCAGAGAGAGGAGCTGTGGGCTTCAGTACAGCTCAGTCTCTCTCCAAGAATGGGAGTCTTTAGAGCCCAAGGCAGTTGAGCTTGGGCCCCTGGCTGAGGAGGTAAGTGATGCGGGGAAATCCAGGTGTCAGCCAGGCCCCCTATTGAGGGAATAGAGAAGGGACAAGAGCAGGGTCTGTCTGTGTAGGAAATCGAAGCTTCAGAAGGGAAGTAGCTGGAATTTGTACAGAACTGTGAATGGTACAGGCAAGCACTGAAAGAAAGAAGGCTCTGAGAAGAGAAAGGGCTGGGAGAAAGGACAATACTTACCTGTGGAGGAAACTCGAAGGGGATACAAACTCTGCTACAAAACAAACAACAATTTCACAAGCTAGTGAGCTCTCAGTGCCCTTTACTACACCCTAGCCTAGCCTCCCAATGAGGGGTTGAAGGGGGATCCCAGGGGTCGGAAAGGGAGCTTCCTGTGCCTCCTTACCTTAATCCGGGCCATATTTTCATCAGTTGAACTGAGAACCGCATGAAGCTGATCAGACCAGCTAGGGCTCCTGATCATCCTGGAGCACCTGAAATTGAGGCCCTGACTTTTCCTGTTCTTGCTCTCCCACACCGAGATACCCGCGGGACAGTCCAGGACAAGCTACAGAGTTACATGGAAATGAGGAAAGTGGGGATATACTACAGATACAGTACAATAGCAATACTGCGAATCTAGAACTACGGAACGGAGTACTTTGGAGGGGGGGGGGAGGTGAACAGAATAATACACAGATATCAAGAGAGGGTGGAATGAACCGAATTTTGGTTGAGACCTCCACAAATCAAGGACGCTATCACCACTGAGTCGGTGACCAGTGCCGCCCAAGAGTTCAAACTCTGGTAGGCGGAGAACGAGGATTTAAGAATCGGTGCCGCAGTGCCACCCGGGAAACCGAGTTCACTTCTTGCGGAGACCACAGGCAATAGAGGGCGGAAATACGTTTCCCTAGAAATACGTGCCCTGTGCGTTCACACTCACACCTCCCGTGAAGCTTGTCGGGACACAGAGTCTTCCAGACTCTTATGTTTGGACTACAAGGACAAAAACGAACTACATGTACCAAGATGCATCGTTCAGAGTCAATTGAGTCCGTTATTATTCCTTTACTTTCTGGGAAATGTAGTCCAGCACTGCTGGAAGCATACAGGCCAAAGTGAACTATGAGACTCCATTTCCCAGCAAGCTCAGCGTTCAGCGTGCGCTATGGAGCCGCGTGTCGCAGAGCTGAAGCAGAAGATTGAGGACACCTTGTGTCCTTTTGGCTTCGAGGTTTACCCCTTCCAGGTTGGTTTGTCTTCCCTGTGGTCCTAGGGTGAGCTCTGTGATTGGCCTTGGTGCCAAAAGCGTGAGGCCCGGTGAGCCCTTCTGATCCTCTCAACCTGCTGCAGCCATCTGACGACCGGGTCTCTAGGTCGTGTTGTGAAATGGGGCATGATTAAAAAGGTAGAGAAACACATAATTGCCCTTTTACTTATTTGTGATGTCAAACAAATGAATGAGATACAGCCCACGATCTCCTAGCCTGTCATCATCATAATTTACCAGAAAAATGTCTTCCGGCGGGGCCGAGATCACTGGATTCTTCCAAAGGAATTAGAAGAGGACAAAACTTGGAAGATTGGTGTGGCTATGTACTAGATCAGATGAAGAGAGAAGAGTATTCCCAGTGTTGAACAAGATACAATTGGCTAGTTTGTTCCGTTAGCCAACAGAAGGCTAATTCATTGTGTTGCTTGCCATCAATACAGGACTGAGCATAGAAATTCCTCACGCTCGCCTGGTACAGAAGTCGCTGTAACCCCAGTCAGTCCCTTTCCACCCCACCCGGCCCCGCTGTATTCCACACTTTCCTCCCACAGTACTGAGTGAACAAATTATGTTTAAGACACAATTTTAAACTAAAATCAGGCTGAGTCCTATGGCCTATCTTAAGATCTGTCTGATAGATGGATAGATAGGTAGCTAGCTAGAGTGCTGGCTTAGCGTTTGCAAATCTCAAACAGCAGCACAAAACCAGATGTATATGAAAAGATGGATTGAAAGGAGAGGAGGATTATGTACATTTTAAGAGTCAGAGTTTGGAGGCAGTGACAGGCGGCAGGTATGGGGAAGAACAAGAGTGCTTATGTGAATGCTAGGTGTGATGGCCGAAGACTTTGACCCCAGCACTCAGGACGCAGAGGCTTCCAGACCAGCCTGACCTAAATATCAAGCTCCTGGTCAGCAGAGCTATATAGTGAGACCCTCTCTTAGAATTGTGTGTGCCTGTGTGTCCAGTCTGGGTAGGAACTATTTACTGAGCAGATTTAGAGCTGCCTGTATCATAAGGTCTTGCTATTCACCTTTCTAGACCTACATCCAACAGCCACCATGAATATCACCTGAATCTTCCAAACACGTGTTTTTTTTTTTAAGCCCACCAACCTATCTTATATTCCAGAACACTTCTTACATGTGAATTATTATAATCTCCTTGCTACCATCTTGGCTCCAGTCTATTCTCTACACTGCAACAAGATCTTTCCAACTGTTGGGTCACTTTACTCTTTTATGTATTAAATGACTCCTCATCTTCACCAAGTTGGAGCCATAGTTTTTAGTTTGATAAGTTAGGCCAGGCCCAACCTCACTCCTACTAATCTCTCAAGCTTTTCCCTTCACTTCCACCAAACTAGACAATCTGCTCTTTTCAAATGTGCTTAGTACATTTCTTCCTTTCTTCCTTTCTTTTCTCTATTCTTCCTTTCTTCCATTCTTTCTCTCTTCCTCCCTTTCTTTCCTTCTTTTTTTGTTTTTGTTTTTTGAGACAGGGTTTCTCTGTGTAGCCCTGGCTGTCCTGGAACTCACTCTGTAGACCAGGCTGGCCTCGAACTCAGAAATCCACCTGCCTCTGCCTCCCAAGTGCTGGGATTACAGGCATGCATCACCACTGCCCCGCCCTTTCTTTCCTTCTTTCTTCCTTTCTTTTTCTTTACCTTTTATTTTTTCTTTTCTTTTTTCAAAAAGACAGGATTTCTCTGTATAGCTCTGGCTGTCCTGGAACTTGCTGTGTGACCAGGCTGGCCTGAAACTCAGAGATCCAACTGCCTGAACTTTGTGTTTCAGGTGGCATGGTACAATGAACTTCTGCCTCCAGCCTTCCATTTGCCCTACCCAGGACCTACCCTGGCCTTCCTGGTACTCAGCACACCTGCTATGTTTGACAGAGCCCTCAAACCCTTCTTGAAGAGCTGCCAGCTCCAAACACTGAGAGACCCTGTGGATCAATGTGTGTCCTACCACCTGAGGAGTGTTACAGAAGTAAGGTGGAACTTTCCTTCATCTCCCAAACCTACATCTGCTTCCCTGTTGATCAAGCTCAGGGCACAATCTAGCCTTAGGGCTAGGAGCCATGACATTCTGCAACTTCTTTGTGTTCTGCCTTCTTCAGGTTTTACCCTTTCCTTTAGCAGACTCCCCATCTGAAATCATTTTGTAGGGTGACTACACTGACGGACAACTAGAGCAACCTTTAGTCTTAATCTCCAATTGGAATATTAGTAAATCTAACATCTTTAGTCATTGTTCATTGGCTTTTGCCCTGCGCTTATAAGTTCTATGCTGTCTATGGAGCCTTTTGAAGGCTGAAGAGTATTTCCCGGCCTGTACACATTTGTATACACATAAATTTGTACATATAAATTCTAGGTCTTCCTATTCTAGAATTGCTATACATGGCTCAATAACTCCTATAATGGAGGCTTCTAAGCAAGGCCTTTTGTATTTCCCTTCAAGCATAGGCCCTTCTGAGGGGGCAGAGGAACTTTAAATTCCTTCACTTTGTAGCTCCTTAGGTTAAAATTATGTTTTCTCTTCAAACAGGCTTTTAATGGTGAATCCCAGCAGTAGGGAGATAGAGGCAGGAGAATCAGGAATTCATGATCATCATTGGATACATATAGCAAATTCAAGGCCATTCTGACCCTGTCACACACAAAAAATCAACAAACCTTGGGCTTATGAAAACAGGAAGCATGTTAATATATAACTTAAGCCTTAGAACAAAGTCATGACTCCCATCGTGCTAACAAGAACTCTGTATTCTGTTACAGAAGTTTCCAGAACTGCATATGGAAGTCATTGCTGACTATGAGGTACACCCCAACCGGCGTCCTAAGATTCTAGCCCAGACAGCAGCCCATGTGGCAGGTGCTGCTTATTACTACCAGCGACGAGATGTGGATGCTGACCCATGGGGCTCCCAGGTTAGAGAATAAATGTGAATCAGTGAGTAGGGACTAAGAGAAAAGACAGTAAAGGCTCCTTAAGCATCCCAATAAGGTCCCACATTCCTTCATAGTCCTTTGATGAAGTTGATACATAACCCAGAACCAGTATCTATGGTCCTGATGAATAGGCCACATATTTTCTGGCTCCTTCACCTGAGGACTTAACAGTTCAGGAAACCTGGTCTTTTTTAGTGTTATAAAAATATTTATTTGGGGGGCTGGAGAGATGGCTCAGTGTTTAAGAGCACTGACTGCTCTTCCAGAGGTCCTGAGTTTAATTCCCAGCAACCACATGATGGCTCACAACCATCTGTAATGGGATCTGATACTCTGAAGACAGCAACAGTGTATGCATATTACATAAAATAAATAAATCTTTAAAAATGTATTTTTTTTATTAGTGGCTAGAAAGATGGCTCAGCGGTTAAGAGCACTGACTACTCTTCCAGAGGTCCTGGGTTCAATTCCCAGCAACCACATGGTGGCTCACAACCATCTGTAATGGGTATCTTCTAGTGTATCTGAAGACAGTAACAGTGTGCTCACATATATAAATTTTTTTTAAAAAGTCTTATTTTAAAAAATACTTATTAGCCAGTATGGCGGTGCATGGCTTTGATCCCAGCACCCAGGAAACAGAGGCAGCAGATCTGAGTTCAAGGTCAGCATGGTATATAGAGTGAGTTCCAGGACAGATAGGGCTACACAGGGAAATCCTGACTCAAAAGCAACCAAAACGGAAATAAAAAATATTCACTGTGTGTGTTCACACCTTTGGAGGTGAGAGGATAATTGCAGACATCAGTTCTTTGCTTCCACCATGTAGTCCTTGGGGTGAACTGACGTTGTCAGGCTTGGGTGTAAGCACCTTCACTCATGGAGTCACCTCACCAGCTTCCTGATCAGATTTTAGGACAAGGTCTCTCTACATCCCTGGCTGTCTTGTAACTCATTGGGTAGATTAGGCTGGCCTTGAACTCATAGAGAGAACCTTCCTTCTGCCTCCTGAGTACTGGAACTAAAGACTTGTGGCCCCCAAGCCTGGTTTGGTCTGTTCTTAAAACTTTGTGTTAAAGTGGTTTCCCAGAAAGAGCCAAAGGCAGAGTACTGATCAGGAGACCAATATTGATACTGGGAAGCTGCTTAAGTAAGCCCTTCCTCATTCTTTAGAAGAGGACAGAGACAGTGAGATGGAGGGAAAGGCACTGTGCCATTGTGTGCCACACAAGCATAGCATAGCAACCTGAGTCTCATCTCTGGAACCCATGTAATGGTGAAAGAGAACCAAACCCATGAAATTGTCCTCTGACCCACACAGGCACACTCACATACACACAATAATAGGTTTTTTTTTTTTTTTGAAAGGTTCTAAATTTTATTACTGAGCAGACACCCTAATTTAGACATGAGCAAGTCTCCAGGTTAAAAATGTTGAAATCCATCTGGCAGGACTGACCGATGACCACAGTTCAGTATAAACCCTCAGTCTTGCCAGTGTGTGAATCCTTACAGACCCAGCTTTGTTCTCCTCCAGTGCCTTCTCTTAGAGTTGTACCTGATTTTGTTACCAGTTTTCATCCAGATCCACTGAGGAATAGGAAGATTTTGCTTTTGTTTCTTGGCCAGGAATCGCTTGATTCTGAAAGTCTTGTGAGAAGACATGTCGAGAAGCCAAATCAACCACAATGCGCATGATGGCAGAGGAAAGGGGAACACAATAATAGATTTTTTTAAAAATAAATAAGTGACAGAGCCTTCTGCATGGAATCAGTGTGCACTGAGTGGGAAATAAATGAACAAAAATAGGAGCTGGAGAGATAGATAGCTCAGAGATTAGGAACATTTATTGCTTTTGTATGAACCATGTTCAATCCCCAGCACTCACATGGCTCCTGAGAACTATCTGCAACTCGTTTTAGATCTGACACCCTCTGCTGGCCGCTGTGGGTACTGCTTCCATGCAGGCAAGACACATATAGCCATAAAAATAACTTGGGGGATAAAAAGCTTTCAATAATGATAGTTGAACTAGTGTTAAAATGACCTCTGTAACCCTGCTTTTTCTTTGTCCTCTCCCCAGCACATAGCAGGTGTGTGCATACACCCCCGATTTGGGGGCTGGTTTGCTATCCGAGGGGTAATGTTGCTGCCAGGGATTGAAGTGCCAAATTTGCTACCCAGAAAGCCCCCTGACTGTGTGCCTACAAGAGCTGGTCGCATCACTCTGCTTGAAGGCTTTAATTTCCACTGGCGGGATTGGACTTACCGGGATGCTGTGACTCCTGAAGAACGTTACTCCGAAGAACAGAAGGTCTACTTTTCCACCCCACCTGCCCAACGCTTGGCCCTATTAGGCTTAGGCCAACCCTCGGAACACCCCAGCACTACATCAGAGCATCCTCTTTCCTTGCTTCCCAAGCCTCAGAATTCCAGAAGAGCACGAAGCTGGCTTAGTCCAAGTGTCTCACCACCTGTATCCCCAAGCCCTTGATAACTTTTCACCTGTGGGATTCCACTCATGGTGGATTGGTCTTATTTTGGGTAGGATTTGGGTTTTTTGTTTGGTTGGTTGGTTTTTCGAGACAGGGTTTCTCTGTGTAGTTCTGGCTGTCCTGGAACTCACTCTGTAGACCAGGCTGGCCTCAAACTCAAAAATCCACCTGCCTCTGCCTCCCAAGTGCTGGGATTAAAGGCGTGCAGCACCACTGTCCGGTGAGGATTTGGGTTTTGTAAAAGCACTTTTTTTAGTTTTTTTGAGACAAAAGTTTCTATGTAACCCTGGCTATCCTGGAACTCTGTAGACCAGGCTGGCCTCAAGCTAACAGAGATCCATCTGCTAGTGTCAAAATGACCTCTGTAACCCTGATTTTTCTTTGCCCTCTCCCCAGCACATCCTCTCCCAGCAGATCCATCCACTCCTCTGGAGTGCTGAGATTTTTGCACCGAGAGAAAAAAAAAACATTTTATTTTGGGTATGATTTCCTGATAATAGCACTTCAAAGGGAGTCAAGACTCAATTTCTATTGGTCAAAATAAATCATGCCAAAGCAGGCTCAAAATCAGCAGTTGACTTCAAACATTAGACCCATGCCCATTACTGTTCTTGTGCAGTACTCTAAGAACCATGGTCCTCACTTTTCCTAAAGCTGCTTCCCTTTAATACCGTCCTTCCTCATGCTATAGTGACCCCAACCATAAAATTATTTTTGTTGCTACTACATAACTAGTTTTGTTAGTTATGAACCATTATGTAAATATTTAAGTTTTCCAGTGGTTTTAAGGAATCCAATGGTGGGGCAGTGGTGATGCACGCCTGTAATCCCAGCATTTGGGAGGCAGAGGCAGGAGGATTTCTGAGTTCTAGGCCAGCCTGGTCTACAGAGTGAGTTCCAGGACAGCCAGGGCTACACAGAGAACCCTGTCTTGAAAAACAACAAATAAATCCGGTGAAAGGGTTGTTCAACAATCCCTGGGGGTCATGACCCACAGGTTGAGAACCACAGATTTAGTGGCTCCTAGGGGTACCCACCACATAAAGCTATGTGAATATTTAAGAAAACTTTGAAACTGCCTGACCTATAGTGTGCTATTACTAAAGGCTTAAGGAATCTTATGCTCAAATAAATGTACTTTGAATTCTGGAATGTTGGAAGGCCATGATGGCGTAAGATTGTTTTGCTACCCTAACCAAGAATCCAGAAGAAACTTCTTGCTGACAAGGATCAAAAAGGAAGATTCTCTAATCATAGCTAAAATACAAGATGTTGAATACAATCCTATCTAAAGCCATCAACTTTGTTTGCCTGTTTGTTGATTCAAGAGATATTTTCCCAGTCCTGATTTTTCAAGTTTCACTGCCAGGGTCTAGGGAGGTTAGTTGGTAAATTGTCACGAGCTGTTTGTACTTGTTGAAAACAGAACAAGAGACAGACCCCCATCTCAGACTCAATCATGTTAATCTCAAATATCCTCAAACAGGATGCCCCCCCAACACTGCAACACGGAGGGAGAGAAGCAAACTACTGAGGGTTATTAAAGAAAAATGAAATTGCACCCAGGATGGAGAGATGGTTCAGAGATTAATGGCACTGAATACTCTTCCAGAAGTCCTGAGTTCAATTCCCAGCAATCACATGGTAGCTCATAACCATCTATGTGATCTGGTGCCCTCTTCTAGCCTGCAGGCATGTATGTGTGCAGGTAGACCATATGTATTTGTTATGTGTGTGTATATATATACTATGTATGTATAGAAAATACATATATAATCTTCTAAAAATGCATCCTGAAAACAGGTAGGTGTAGCATTTCCAAGATTAGTATTACTTATTCCATGATATAAAAATGTAGTGGGGAAAAGGGAAAAACACTAATAAACTTGTTCAAGCACTTTACTGGGCCCTGCCCAGAACTCCCTCCCCATAAATATGAATAATTTAGAAAAAAAAAGGAATGGCCAGGCCTGTCAAGTTTTTAATCCCAGGTTAGGCTACTTGATAAGACTTTTTGCTTGTGTGTAGGACAGAATGTGTGGACCTTTTGAGGCTGAAATGAGAGGCAGTTGTGAGCCATCTGATGAGACAGTCTTGCTGAACTGAACTAGATGCTTACTGAGGTTTGTTGGCCAATAAGCTCCAAAAATTGTCTTCTCCCCTTGTTCCCAGCAACCAAAGTACAGAACAAATGCCAAAACATTGGTATATATGAAGTCAGAGGACAACTTGTAGGAGGAAGTCAATTCTTCCACTATGTGGCAAATATCTTCAATGTGGTTTGAATAGACACAGCCCATAGACTCATATTTTGACTGCTTGGCCATAGGTAATTGCATTATTAGAAAGTGTGGCCTTAGCCGGGTGGTGGTGGCGCACGCCTTTAATCCCAGCACTTGGGAGGCAGAGGCAGGCGGATTTCTGAGTTCGAGAGTTCGAGGCTAGCCTGGTCTACAGAGTGAGTTCCAGGACAGCCAGGGCTATTCAGAGAAACCCTGTCTCAAAAAAACCAAAAAAAAAAAAAAGAAAGTGTGGCCTTGTTGGTGCTAAGTGTCACTGTGGCATACAGTCTTTTAGTGTCCTAGAAATCACAACTCCTTGGCCAGTACCATGTCTTCCTGCACTCTGCCATGTTTCTCACCATAATAGACTAAACCGAACTATAAACCAGCCCCAATTAAATGTTTTCCTTTTTAAGAGTGGCCATGGTCATGGTGTCTCTTAACAGCAATAAAACTCTAAGCTACCCAATGAACTCCTTACTGGCCTAGTTCTATTTATTTTGCAGAGCCAACAAGACACTAGGCATTTATCCCAACAAGCAAAAATTCTGTTTACACAAAACCCTCTTAGCAATAACAGCCCAAGTAAATCTTACTCAGACTTGCTTGCAACCCAGCAAACATGAACTGCAGTGCTATGGTTAAGAGGATAGCAGGTTTGCTCTTCCATCTAAAATATTGTAAAACTAAAAACTGTTTCTGCTGTGTGGGTATGTGTACCTTCAGTTGATTCTATGGAAGCCTTTTTTTTTCCTTTAAAGACAGGGCCTCATCAGGCGGTGGTGGCGGACACCTTTAATCCCAGCACTTGGGAGGCAGAGGCAGGCAGATTTCTGAGTTCGAGGCCAGCCTGGTCTACAGAGTGAGTTCCAGGACAGCCAGGACTACACAGAGAAACCCTGTCTTGAAAAACCAAAGATAGGGCCTCATGCCTCACAAAAGTGAAACTCTGATCCTTTTGCCTTCAGTTCTCTAGTACCGAGATTACAGGTATGTACTATCACACCTTGTTTACCTGGCAGTGGGGTTACAACAAGGCTCTGTGAATGCTAAACATAATGGTTAACTTCTGCCAACTTAATAGACTGGTCTGTGGGACCTCTTCTGCTTCAGTTCCTATTTGAAGTCCTCCCCTGACTTTACCTCAGTGATGACTGTGACCAGGAAGTATAAGCCAGGTATTTTTAGTCACAAATTAACCCAGCAACAAGAAGCAAAGCAAAATACCAAGGACTCAACCAAAAACTTTTGTCTCCAGCTCTGAGGCACCTCTCAAACCTAGTTTTTTAAGAAAAGCAAGGGCTGTGGAGATAGTTCAGCTGTAAAGTACTTGTGAGGAAGAATTTGGTCATTGGAACTCCCATCAAAAAAGCTAGGCATCAAGCTGGCAGTGGTGGCACATACCTTTATTCCCAGGACAGCCAGGCTGTCTCGAAAAACAAAAGGCCAAGTATAGTAGTCCATGCTTATAAAACCAGCACTAGAAAAGCAGATCCTGAGAGCTTACTAGCCTCACCTACACATCAAGTTCCAGATCAGTGAGCAATCCTGTCTCCAAAATTAAGGGACTGGAGAAATGACTCAATGGTTAGGAGACCTGCTGCTCTTGCAGAAGACCCAGGTTTAATTCCCAGCACCCACATAGTGGGTCATAGGAATCCATGACACAAATCCCAGGGTATCCAACAGGCAGGTAAATGGTACATATGCTGGGAAAACATTCTTTTTTTAAAATGGTAAATAACACAAACACATTCACTCATGAGAAAAAATTTCCAATGTTGCCTTTAAAGAATGAATCACCAAGTTCTCAGAATTCACGTTTAATACTTTTAAAAAAGGAAAAAAAAAAAAGAATTAACAGGTTGGTTTCTGTGACTGATATAAGATGGTCTGCCCAAAACACAGCTCAGACCATTACCAATAGTGGAAGAAAGGCTAGCCACACCCAGCCCTGTAGAAAAGGCTTATTTGGAATCACACCACATGTGTTTAAGCATGAGTAGAGTACAAGAGATTTTCTTCTGGCTGCTCAATGCTGTCTGGCAGATAAATGGTCTAGTGCTCACTTCTGCTTAGAGAAATACTCTTTGCTCTTTTGGACATCAGGCTTGATGGTATCACTGCCAGGTTTCCAGCCAGCTGGGCACACTACGAAGAGAAAGGTATTATTAATTAGTAACCTGCTCCAGTGTGCATTTACCTCCCCTGCATCCTTGAACAAAAGACTGTCTGGCTGCTGTGGCAAATGCTGGCACGATATGGAGGCAAGGAGGTTATTAGTTTGAAGCCAACCTAGGCTACACATTGTTTTGTGGCAAATACCTTTACTCTAGCATTCAGAAAGCAGAGGCAGGCAGATCTCTGGAAGTAAGTTCAAGGCCAGCCCTGCTAGTGAATTCTAGCCAAGTGAGACCGATCTTGGCCAAATTCCAGGCTAGGCTGGATAAGACTCTGTCCCCCCACCCCCCAAAAAACCCAAAGCAGCTAGAGAAGATAGCTCACATCTGACAGCACCCAACTCCTTCTTTAACATGCATAATAAACTTTTATTTAAAAATCTGATCCTGAGTTGGATCAACTTGGCAATTTGCCACTCATGATTTTTGTATGACTAACAATACTTAATTAAATCCCACTACAGCCTATAATAGTTATCTTTTATTTTCCTGAACCAATTGTCATCTCCAAAGCTTGCTTCGCTGCTTCCATCTGCTAACCTATGCCTAGTCCTGAAAACTTCTAACCTGTACAATCTTACTTATCTAGGCCTAGAATGTTTTCAGCTTGAGACTTTCTGATCTCTAGCAGGCTATTCTACTCAGCTGGTCTGTCTCAAAATCCTCTCTAGGCTGACTAATTCAATCTTGTTCCTCTGCCTCTTGAATTGCTTTGCTTGGCCTCATACTAACTTTGGCAAACTCTTGCTTGTTCTGTCTTCACCTATGTCTAGCTTGTCCTCTCTCCAACTTATCTCAGTAAAACAGCCTCCTCCTCTTCTCATGAGAGTTGGGCATATCCTATTCTGTCAAATCTTTCTCTGATTTGCCACTTTGCTACTCAATCAGACATCACTTTCCAGAGATCCAAAGTTTGTTGACTCCAGGGATCCAATGCACTCTTCTGGCCTCCACAGGCACCTACACAGATTTGGCATACAGTAACCCTTTTATTTTGTGGGGAGAGGGGATATTTCTAGATAGGGTTTTTCCATGTAGCTTTGGCTATCCTGAAACTCATCAGACCAAGCTGGGCTGAAACTCAAAGATCCACCATATCCAGTGGTTATTTAAAGAGACGAAAAGTTCTAGAAATAGTAGAGATGGATATGATATATACAAATAAATACTTAAAATGCTAAATTAGTTTACCAGAATAAAACTGCAAATACCAACATAAAGCACTTAAAAATGATTTGTTGGCATTCTTTTACTCTTAACAGAAGACTAAGTAAAACATGATATGACAGTTTGTAATCTCAGCACCAACACCCAGGAGATGGGACACAGGAAGTGGAGATTTTTTTTCCTTTTTTTTTTTTTTTTTTTCCAAGACAGGGTTTCTCTGTGTAGCCCTGGCTGTCCTGGAACTCAGAAATCCACCTGCCTCTGCCTCCCAAGTGCTGGGATTAAAGGCGTGTGCCACCACTGCCTGGCTGGAAGTGGAGATTTTCAAGTTCAACCTGCTACAGACTATTGAGAGCAGCCTGAGCTACATCAGATCCTCCCTCCCAACACCCACCCAAAAGCCTTTAACACCCCAAACATATAGTATTTCAGAATCCCAAGAGCAGCAACCTCCAAATCTCAGCCTACAACCCCAGAATTTTTGTTGTATATGGTTTGGTTTTTGGAAGAGCCAGTGTGTTATTTTGAGACAAAAACTCACTTAATGTAACACATGTTGGACTCCAGTTTGCAGCAAGCAAATTTCCTTCTAAGTACTGACACTGCAGGTACAATCCACTATACCTAACTTCTCAGCATTAACTGCAGAATTACAAAAAAACAAAAACCATTGCTCTATAAATACTGTTCCACATCAGCCGGGCGTTGGTGGCGCACGCCTTTAATCCCAGCACTTGGGAGGCAGAGGCAGGCGGATTTCTGAGTTCGAGGCCAGCCTGGTCTACAGAGTGAGTTCCAGGACAGCCAGGGCTATACAGAGAAACCCTGTCTCGAAAAACCAAAAAAAAAAAAATACTGTTCCACTTTGTCTTCAACTCCTCTGGAAGTAAAAAACAGAGCTTCTCCATCTATCACACACTTAGGAAAAAGTATTAAGACTGGCTGTACTTTCTGAATGACAACTGCCAGCTATAAAGACCCTATCTTGGAAAAACAAAAAAATAAATAAATAAAATTAACCTCAAACTCAAGAGATCTACCTGCCTCTGCCTCCAAAAGGCAAAAATAGAGTATAAAAGGTGTGGCATGCCAGCTTGCTGGCAAAGCTCCCATAACCCCTTAAAAAGGACACAGACTGAATTAACTCTTTAGTCCAGGTTGGCCTTGAATGTGCACTATTCCTGCCTCTGCAGAGATTACAAACTGAGCCACTATTAAGTAGAAAGAACAGACTTTCACATAGCAAAATATTACCTTGATCCTGTAACAAGCTCCCATACACCTTTTATTTTTGAGCATGTAGTCCTGTAATAGTCCATAAAGAGCCTGACCTTCAATCTCTTCCCAGAAGTGTTACGATTATACTAAGCTACATCCCCAGCACCAAAATACCAATTCAATTCTTGATAGCATGAACGCCAGACATGAACCTCAGGGACTCCCAGGTTAGAGAAGCTACCAAGGACCTACATCTCTAGCAACCTTAATTTTTTAAAGATTTTTATGCCTATGAGTTTTCTGCCTTCGTACCACATGTAAACCCTGTGCCATAGGAGGTCAGAAGAGGGCACTGAACCCCTAGAAATGGAGTGAGACTGTTGTGATCCACCAGGTATGTGCCAGGGATCAAATCTAGGTCCTCTGCAAGGAGCAAATTCATTTAACCACTAAACTACCTTTCTAAAAAAAGAATTTTCTCAAAAAAAAAAAAAAAAAAATTTTTTTTCTTTTGAAACAGGATATATTATGTAGCTCTGGCTGTCCTGGAACAGGCCTCTGCCTCCTGAATACTGGGATTAAACAACTACACTCAGTTTGTTTTATCATCTATAGTGAGATCCTCCTCAAATCTGCAGCAGTCAGTGATTCCAAATCAGAACAGGAGTGGAGAGTATGGTGTTTGAACAAAAAGCCTTTGTTTTTTCTCCGGGCTTGTCTATTACCCACCCCCACAGATAACTCTAATCCACAGCCTTTCCAACACAAACATCCTTTTCTCTAATAGCCTTTGTACCCTACTACACACTATCTCATTAACAGGCAGATGACTTACCTTCACCATGTTTGTCAGTGAACTGAAAGGCCTGGACTAGTCTCAGAACCTCATCCACAGAGCGGCCAACAGGAAGATCATTTATTGTTATCTGGCGAAGGGTACCTTTATCGTCAATAATAAAGAGGCCCCTGGGTGGGTGAAGGATTGAGACATATGCATTACAAGTCGTCATTGTTAGAATTCCTAAGGAAATGGGCTCTTACAAGAGGTATACCAGCCTACCATTTGTAAGACCACTACATTAAATAACTCAATGAGAAAGAGCTATTTAGCTCAGTTTGCAGTGCTTGCCTAACATGCAAACCTGGGTTTGATTCCCAGAACCAAGTAAAGCAGACATGGTGCACCAACCTAAGTGCAGACAGTTGATCAGGAGTTCAAGATTATCCTCAGCTATCTGACACCATTTCCAAAATATAATAGGTTGGAGGCATGACGGCATATAATTCCAGTATGAGGTCAATCTGAAGTTCAAGGTCAACATGGACTATATTATAACAAGACTGTCTCAAGAATAAAAACCAAGGGGCTGAGGAGAAATGACTCAGTAAAGTGCTGCTCTTTCAAGTAAGTGCACTTTCAAGTAAGTGCACCTGAATTTAAGCCCCAGAATTAGCACATAAGTAATCTCACCTTTAAAAAATAATAATAATAATCATAATAATAATTTAAGAAAAAAGTCAGCCGGGTGGTGGCGGCACACGCCTTTAATCCCAGCACTTGGGAGGCAGAGGCAGGCGGATTTCCGAGTTCGAGAGTTCGAGGCTAGCCTGGTCTACAGAGTGAACTCCAGGACAGCCAGGGCTACACAGAAAAACCCTGTCTCGAAAAACCAAAAAAAAAAGAAGAAAAAAAAAAAAAGTTCACAACCATTTCCAGGGGATCCAATGTGCACAGGTGGTGCACATACACACAAACATTCGAGTACATACAATAAATATATTTAAAATTAAGCATGCAATCCCAACACTGAGGAGGTAGGATCATGCAAACCAAGGGTTCACTTGCTAGGCAGTCCAGCCTTGGCAGGTCCCTAGTCAATGAGACACTATCTCTAAAAAATAGTGGACAGTGTCTGAGGAACTCCAGGTTGTCTGCTGACATTTATGACACATATACACAAAAAAAGACATGAAGAAGGTTACCCTCATATATGTTCTGGCTTTTAGCTAACAAGACTGTTCTCATAGTAACTTCCACCTCCCATCCTTAAAGTACATACCTGAAAGAGATACCTTCATCAGCCTTTAAGACTCCATAATCCTGAGCAATGGTGCGCTTGGGATCTGATATTAAGGGAATGTTCATGGGTCCCAATCCTCCTTGTTTCTTGGGTGTGTTAATCCTACAGCAAAAGAGAGTCTTAAATACAACTTTTCAAATCTTTGTGAAGAAAGCCAAACATATCCTTACCTTTCTAAAACCCTAACTTTATCCAAAAATCTCAACTCTTTCCAATAGTAAAGTGAATGGTTGATAACAGTAAGAGTGCTCACCAGTGCACATTAGATAATAGCACCTCCAAGTGCCTTGCTGCTTCTGCTAGGTAGTAAGAGGCAGTGGGAGCCCAGAAACCAATTTTAGGTCTACTCTTAAACCTCTAAATTTGCTCAAGAAATCCACAACATACTACCAGGAGTTGTGGTATACACCTTTAATTCCACCTAATCATGAGGCTAGGGGTACTACAAGGTACTCATGAGGCTGAAAGCCAGCTTGAGTTAAATATTACCCCAACTAAAAACAAAAAAAAAAAAAATTCCACATGCCAAATGGACCAAAAACTTTACCATGCCAGATGACAGAAGTGAGAATCCACAGAAGCTCCAATCACTTGGCAGTTAAGTTTCTTAAATTCTTCTGCTCTATCACTGAAAGCAATAATCTCCGTGGGACACACAAAAGTAAAGTCAAGAGGGTAAAAGAAGAACACAACATATTTTCCTGGGGAGAAAAAAAAGCGATCAAGAAGTTAGCTTTGAAGCTGAGTTTCTGATCTAGCGGTACCAATATATACCTAAGTTCCCAACATTCAGGACAATTGCTCTAAGTTGAGGCCAACCTGAACTACAGAGTAAGAACCAGGCCAGCCAGGTTTTAAAACCATGTCTCAATGAAAACAAGGAATTTCCAGAAGATTCAGTTGTAAAGACATTCTCCTTTAGAAGACTTGCTAACTATAGAATAAGCACTATTCAGTCTAATTTTGATCTTCTGAAAGGCTCATATTAGCATACACACCAAGTTCTCTCAATGATTAAAAAAAAAGGGGGCAAGAATGCAATTCATCTAGTAAATGATCTACAAACAGTACCTAGAACATGAAGTATGGTGGTACAGTCAGAAAGTAAAGGCTGAGATACAGTGAGATACAGGGTGAGATACAGTGGCAGGAAGACTGAGAGTTGGAGGCCAGCCTGAGCTCCAAGCCAGCTCCAGGATGCATAGTGAAAGTTTCTAACTCATCCCCCCAAAACACACACACACACACACACACACACACACACACAGAGCCTGGATTGGGTACCAAACACTGCCTGTAAGTCAGCATTCCAAAGTCCAGCATTCAGGAGAAAGAAGCAGGAAAATCACAAGTTCAAGACCAGCCTAGGCTATTTAATAAGTTCCAAGAAAGAGAGCCCATCTCAAAAACAAAACTTAGAATGGTGGTGGTATATGCCTGGCAGTTGAATCTCTGTGAGTACAAGGTCATCCTGGTCTATAGAGCAAGTTCCAGATCAGCCAAAGCCACAGAGAAACCCTGTCTCAAAAACAAACAAAAAAAAACCCCAAAAACAAAAAAGTTGGGAGTAGAAACTCAACATAATCCCAGGACTTGGGAGGTGGGGAACAGAAGAATCAAGAGCTTGATTGAGGTCATCCAGCCGATCTGGCTACTCTTCTAGAAGTCCCAGATTTAATTTCTAGTATCCACATGGTGGTTCACAACCCAGGGTGTCCAACACACTCTTCTGGCCTCTTCCAGCACCAGATAGACATTCACGGGTGATGCAGACATATATACAGACAAAATAACTAACAAACAAACAAACAAAAACAAAAACAAAAAAAAGGCAAACCAACAAAGACAGAAAGTCAACTAAGTCAGAGCCTTTATACAATGATGAAGGAATAATTAAGTGATCATCTCCTAAGTAATTTTCTCTCCTTCTATCTTGATATAGGCAGGGTTTCTTGTTTCTGCTGTTAAGATGTGGGCAGTGGTGGTGCACACCGTTAATCCCAGCACTCGGGAGGCAGAGTCAGGCGGATTTCTGAGTTTGAGGCCAGCCTGGTCTACAGAGTGAGTCCAGGACAGCCAGGGCTATACAGAGAAACCCTGTCTTGAAAAACCAAAAAAAAAAAAAAACAAAAACAAAACAAAAAACCAAAAAAACCAACAAAACAAAAGATGTGGTATTACAGACTAGTTGTCTCCATCTATCTTGAATAGGACTAGTGATACAGAATCCAACTAATTAATCCAACTAATTTTATGTAGTTCCCATGGATTTAAATAAATTGAAGTCTTTCAAGCTTGTGCAGCAAACACTTTCACCTAATGAACAATGTTTCCAGCATTCAAAGGTGATATTTAAGTAATCTCATAAATCACAATTGTGTTCCTAACGAGTCCAACAGGACATGACAAGAAAAATGTTGCAACTAAAAGTAAGCAAAGTACTGGTAGGTAACAGGACTTCTAGCTCCAATTTTACTTTAGTAACTGTGATTACCAAAGCAAATCTTCAAGGAAGGCTATGTATGATGCTTCTCACCATACCTAATGACTAAACTACTTACTGGAACGTTTCCAAATACCCACTTATTTTCAGGTAGTAACTATGTCTGAAAGTGAAAACAAGCAGTCTGGAACGTTTCCAAATACCCACTTATTTTCAGGTAGTAACTATGTCTGAAAGTGAAAACAAGCAGTCCTTGACTCACCTAAGCAATCTCTCTGTGGCTTTGTTTAACAAGCACTTTGAAGCCTCAGCAGACCAAGCCCTACAGGGCAGAGAGCAAGCACTCCCAAGACCATGTGCCAGGGTCACCTCTACCTCCTAAGAGGTTTGCCAGTAAGAGATCTTCTCCATACAGCCCACAGCCCACAGTATCTGTCCTCATCCCAACAACAAAGTGTGATATCAGGAAATCGAATATTTTACTCAAAAGCTATCTCCAGAAACTCATACACCACTAAGGAAGGTATATTTAACACCAGAATTTGAGGCTTGTACCTAAGGGATCTGTAGTCTCAATGGTCTCAAAAGACCTAACTACCCTGAGACTGCAGGCAAGGGAGAAAGAATGTAGACTAGAGAGATACCTAAGCAGTTACAGGCATGTTGCTGCTCTTGCAAAGAATTCTGTTTAGGATCTAAACATCCACAACCATCTGTAAGCATAGTTTCAGTTCTAACACCCATGCACACAAGCAGACCAAGTTCCAGAACAGCCAGGACTACATAGAGAAAGACACCCTGCCTCAAAAAACAGATATAATGATAGATTTCTTTTGCTTTTTTCTTTTTCGAGACAGGGTCTCACCACGCAGCTTTAGCTGACCCGAAATACAGACATCCACCTGATACACCACACACTACACCTAGACAGGAGGTAAATTTTTTAAAAAGGAGAGAAGGTAGAACATTAACAGAACCTGCCAAGTATCCCTATAAAATTATGGTAAAACAAAAGGTAATTGGAGTGTCAAGTCTTCCCTGTGAGCAGAAGCAAAGCCACAGTTCCAAAGACTTGACTTGTAAGACTAAAAAAAAAAAAAAAAAAAAAGCCGTGCTGTGGTGGTGCACGCCTTTAATCCCAGCACTCGGGAGGCAGAGGCACTCGGATTTCTGAGTTCTAGGCTAGCCTGGTCTACAGAGTGAGCTTCAAGACAGCCAGAACTACAGAGATCATATGTTACAGATTTTTTTTTAATAAAAAAAATAATGAAAAAAAAGGAATGGAAAAGGGCTAGAGAGATGGCTCAGCCTGTAAGAGCACTGAATGCTCTTCTGGAGGACCTAGGTTCAATTTCCAGCACCCACTCAGCAGGTCACAATTGCTTGTAACTTTAAGATCTGACACCATCACATAGACAAACATACAGACAGAACACCAATGTATAATATAAAACAAAAGCAAATTTTTTAAAAGGAAGAAATAACTAAAAACCAAAATAAAGGGATCAGGGGTAGGGGACGATATTCCATGGTTGAGTGTTGCTAGCATGAGTTGAAGCACTGAACAGTACCTCAGTATCCCCAGTACCTCAGGATACAAGAATTCCCTCAATAAGTAAATGCCAGTAAAAAGGTAATCAGGTTAGGTAAAACAAAGCATACTTTCTCTAGAAATGACTCATACCTAGGATATCTACCTTTATTACTGTCCTAACCATGACTTCACTTCAACATAAAGACAAGTGAAGTGGCCTCTTGCCCAATGTAATTAATCTTACCTTTGTAGTCACTTAGGCTGATATCTTTGAATTGTCCATCTGGCATAACAGCTGTAGCTTTGAAGTTGGGAGCAGGATGCCCAATTTTTGCATTTCCTGAAGACATCTTGCTATCAGCTGGAAAAGACAACAAAAAATGTAAACAACCCAGTTCTTCTAAATAAGCAACAGCTTTCGCCTACCTAGGAACTTAATGTAGTTTAATCAGGGAATGGTCCAGTGGCCTTGAATACATTGGTTTATATTATAGTACTAAGCACAAACTAACAGTTAAGAGTTCAAACCCAAAAGCCCCAACTTCTGGGTAAAAACAAGACTGAAAATCAGCCTTTGTTTTCACTTGCTAACAGCTCCAAAGTGTCTAAATAGGTCAGTTCTCCCAGTTTCTAAACCAGTTTTGGCAATAGCATTTTACTTTGCATATTCATTAGGGAGAAGCAGGAAAGAAATGGAACAGACACAAAAAATCCAAACAAATCAATGCCAGGACATTGGCATTTACTGCTTCAAAACTTTAGGTATTCCGTTTAAGCAGATGTTTTCTCTTCATAACTTGTTTGAAGCTAACCTAGATTTATTGAGACCTTGCCTTAAAATTTTCTTTAGATTTATACCAGGGACAGTGGAGCATAATACCAGCATTCTGGATGCTGAGGCAGGATAGTGAACTGCAAGACTAAGAATACTTGCCTCGGGGCTGGAGAGATGGCTCAGTGGTTAAGAGCACTGACTGCACTTCCAGAGGTCCTGAGTTCAAATCCCAGCAACCACATGGTGGCTCACAACCATCTGTAATGAGATCTTATGCCCTCTTCTGGTGTGTCTGAAGACAGCTACAGTGTATTCATATATAATAAATAAATAAATCTTTAAAAAATAAATACTTGCCTCAAAAAGTTTCTGTACCAGGGAGGCTATGTAGGTTAAGGTACTTGCTATCTGATGACCTTACTTCAATCTCCAGAATCCCCATAAAGATGGAAAACTCCTACAAGGCTCACACACACAAATGTTTAAAAGAAAATCTTAAATTTCTGATCTCTGGGCCAAGAACCTGGAGCAGAGGTACATAACGAGGGTTACTTTACTGGCAGGGTTTGGGATAACTGTAGTCCCAACACTTGGAAATTAGAAGCTGAAGAATCAAGAGTTCAAGGCTGGTCAAATTAGAGGACCACCCTAGTTACATGAAACTGTATCTTACAAAAATACAAAAAAAGTCAATGTACTGCTAAGAAACCGATTTCTGCACTATTTACCCAGGTCAATAAAATACAATAAAAATTGTTAAGATGTACAACATTAGGAGCTTCAGCTATGGCTCAACAATTAAGAGCCTACACTGCTCCTTTCGGAGAAAACCCTGGTTCAGTTTCCTGCACCCATTTAGGGTGGTTCACAACCACCTGTAACTAGCTAAAGGAGGTGGGGTGGGGGGAACCACATACGTAGACATACACATAATAAAAAGCACAATCAAAAAGAAAACTTACACCTCTCGGTCTGAATGCAAGTTGGAATCCAAGTTCCAAATTTATTGGTTCCTAACACCAATAACCAAAAGAAACGCCAAGAAAAAGAACATCTTCCATCCCAAACTTTGAAAAACTTAAAAAAAAACTTTTAACTGTATCATTTTCAAGGAATTGTTGCAGCAAATCTGATGTAGCCCCTAACATAAACCTTTTTTAAATCAAACTTGCTTTGCAAAGAGTCCCAGCACTTCCATACTCAACCAATCCCGGAAAATTGGCTTCTGGCCGCTGAGAGGCCTCTCCAGAGGAATCGGACTAGAACGCCAGAGGAGGTCACGCCCCAACCTCGCTGGAGGTATGTTCCTGCCACTCTCGCCGTCATCCACTCTAGCACTTCAGAAAACACTATGACACGCCCAGTGCGCGCTGTGAGCTCCAGAACCACGGGTCCCACCATGCCATCTACGCCCTCTATCGGAGCGCCGGGAGAGGAGGAATTCAACGTTAGCCACAGGGTTCCAACAGGTCCGGGAACTAAGGGCCACGTGAAGACTGCGAGTAGCGCTCGAGCACTCGCGGGACCAGGCCTCGCCCGGCCGCTTCAGCCCGAGACCGTCCCTGAGGAGCTGGGACCGGCCGGAGGGCGAAGGAGCCGGTGACCGGCGCGAGCCCCATTTCTCAGCGGCAGTACTCGTACACTCACCAGGGTGGAGCCACAGGTCTCACAAACAGATGCAACCGTGAGAACGCAGGAAGAGGTCGCCCGAAAGCGCGCGCGGGGAGCTGCTTTTATAGACCACAAAGTTCTCGCGAGACTCCTACGGGCCAGGGGTGCGGGAGGAGGGGGACCTGGCTGAGTCCCGCCCTGCCCTGGCCGGCCGGCGGGGGATGACTCAGCGCTTTCCCTGGATGGGCCTGGAGTTGGGGAGGGGTCTCCGGAAATGCTCACACTCTCATTGATGCTGTTCTCAGAAGTGAAAAAGGACTTCCCTTTGAGCCGTCTCCTCTTTTAATCAGGGATACCCGGGGAATCCATGCCTCTCTTTATTCCCAGGACCCTTGTGTGCCCCTGTTGTACTCAAGACCCAAACTAGAGAAAGGGTCTGTTTTACTGCTCATGGAAGGCCACGTCTAAAATTAAACCACGTTAAGCGGAACTGTGCACCCAAATATTTCTCAGTTGCATCCCAGCCTCGAAAACCTGTTTTAGGGCTGGAAAAGCTGGCTCAGCCATTACGAGCACTGGCTGCTTGCTCTACCAGAGGACAAGGGCTCAATTTCCCACATCCACACGGCAGCTCACAGCTGTCTGTAGATCCAGTTCTAGAGGATCCAACACCCTCACAGGTACATGAAGGCAAAACACCAATGCACATAAAATGAAAAGAAGTAAATCATTAAGAACAAAACAACAACATCAAAAAATACCTTGTGCTAGTCTGCTCCTCAGTAACCCTCACTACTCAGGCAGCCCCCATTGGTCTCTGATTACTGGATGCTGCTTTTCTGTTTCGCATCCTTTCCTTGGATTATTCTTAAATCTTTCTGAATCTGAGCCTGTCACTAAACTGATTTGTGGTTTTAAAAACTGGGGCTCTGTGATCAATTTCCTGAGTTTTTCCAAGCCAAGTGGTGACAGCACACACCTTCTCAGCACTCTAGAGGCAGAGACTGGTGGATCTCTGAGTTCAAAGCCAGCCTAGTCTACAATGTGAGTTCCAGGGCAGCCAGGGCTACACAGAGAAACCCTGTCTCCAGAAAAAAAAAAGTCAAGAGAGTTAAAGAGGGGTCAGGCTTGATGGCAAGTACTGAGTCAGAGGCAGGAGAATCTCTGTATTTTTGAGTCCAGCCTAGTCTACATAGCAAGTTCCAGGACAGCAAAGACAACATAGAGACCTTGGAGGAGCGGTACAAAGCTCAGAGTTATCATTTTATATCACATGCTTTGTGTGATTTAGGGACCCAGAGATGGATGTAATCCAAATTTTGCCCTCTAGAAAGCCATGCTACAAGGGTGAGGCAGACATTGAAACACAACAGTTAAGAGATTTTTTTTTTCTAGGCTGTAGAGGTTATTGTTTCCGAATAATGATCAATTCAAGGGACAAATGAAAGTTGGTAACACTTTAGGACCTACTCCATAAACCAAGGTCAAGGACAGCTTTCCAGGAAGTAATACTTATCTGAGTCTTCAGGTATATCCTCTCAGCAACAACTAAGGGGAATTGGTTTTCCTGGTTTGAATAGATTGCCTTGAAGCAGTTCAGGGGTTTAAATGAGGGAGATGAAATAGTGACAGCAGAAATAATAGTTCACATCTCTATTGCATAGTAAGAACCAAATATTGTGGACCAGATTTGCTGACGCATGGCAGTAATCTTAGCACTCAGGCTGAGACAGCCTGGACAATAAAAGAGATACTTGCCACAAAACAAAACACCTGAAAGGTTTTCACACACGCAGCTCGGAACAGATCACAGCAGACCAGACGGTTCCACAAGGGAGAGTTTATTAAGAGAAAGGGAGAGCGAGAAGAGAGAAAGAGAAATAGAAAAGTAGAGGCCGGCCATGACCACGTGGAGAGAGGGAGAAGAGAAGAGGGAGAGGGGAGATGACAACCTGCAGGCGCCGGTCAACGGACCATGAGAACAAGAGAGAGAGGAGGGGGCAAACAGCCCCTTTTATAGTGGACAGGGCTACCTGCCTGTTGCCAGGTAACTGTGGGGAGGAGTGTACCTGCCCACTTCCAAGTAACTGTGAAGGTAGAGTTTAGACAGAAAGTACTAACAACACCTACCACAGCAAACTTAGGTGTTATGCTAATGAATACTAGTTATTTACATTAAGATACTAGAGTTAGCCAAACTTCGGGATGCATGCCTTTAATCCTAGCACTTGGGAGGCAGAGACAAGTGAAATCTTTAAGGTCGAGGCCAGCCTGGTCTAGAAAATGAGTTCTAGAACAGCCAGGGCTACCCAGAAAAACCCTGCCTCAAATTGTCACTCCCAACCCCCACCCAAAGAAAGATGTTAGAATTATTCTTTGTATAGGCAAGAAAAGACAAGGCTTATTAGGATTGTATTTTATATAAGGTCACATATAAGGAACAATGACTGTGCGTGTGTGCAGTTTTTTGAGACAGGATTTCTCTGTATAGTGCTTGCTGTCCAGGAACTCACTCCTTAGACCAGGCTGGCCTTAAACTCATAGATCCAACTCCCCGTACTTCCCAAGTGCTGAGATTAAAGGCACAATACCACTAGTACTTTTATTTTCAAGACTTCTCTCTTTTTTTCTTTCTTTTTCCTTTCTTTCTTTTTTGGTTTGGTTTTTCAAGACAGGGTTTCTCTGTGTAGCCCTGGCTGTCCTGTAGACCAGGCTAGCCTCGAACTCTCGAACTCAGAAATCTGCCTGCCTCTGCCTCCCAAGTGCTGGGATTAAAGGTGTGTGCCACCACCACCCGGCTCAAGACTTCTCTTAACTCTTATTAGTAACATAATAGGATAAAAAATAGGGGAAATGCTATGTCATGCTAGCTTAGTATCTGAAATTTTTGGTATGTATCATCCTTTACAACAGTAGTGATTTTCATTTTCCTTCTCGGCATGAGGTTATTACACATTATTCATTTCCAGTTAGTGGAGGAGTTAACTCCACTACTTCCCACGGCCCTTGTACCAGGATAGAAATGGGGAAGTGCTGTGTCATGCTGCTTGAGCATCTGGCCTTTTAAATTTTTATGCATTTATTAATTCTCTTGACAACAGTAGTTGTTTTGTTCAGTTGCTTTTTGGTGTGTGTGTGTGTGTGTGTGTGTGTGTGTGTTAGAGAGAGAGAGAGACAGAGACAGAGACAGAGAGAGACAGAGAGAGACAGAGAAAGAGACAGAGAGACAGAGAAAGAGACAGAGAGAGAGAGGTATGCTCATGTGTGGTATATGCTCAAGTATGTTTTCCCAGGTTCGTGTACCTGTACAGTTTAGCAGAGACCAGAGGAAGATGGTGGTTCTATCTGTATAAAGAAGCATAGAGCATGAAGCAAAGCTGGTGGAGATGCTCTTGTCTCACACACACAGCACTGGGGTTTTATTGACAGATCTATGCAGCTACAACACTCCCCCTACCACACCCCTGTGTTGCTGGAATCCAAAGCCCAGTCTTCATTTTCATCCAGCACTTTTACCCGTTGAACCATCTCTCCTGAGTCTTATTGCTTTGTCTTCTCCTTTTTCCCTCTCACCCTGAGGATGAAGAGTTGTCATCATTCATTTCTTGTGAGATCGAGGTGAGCCAGAGGACAGCTTTCAGACATCAATTTTCTCCTTCCACATTGTGGTTCCTGGGGATGGAACTCAGGTCATCAGGCTTGGCTTCAAGCTCCTTTACCTGCTGAACCATTGTGCCTAGCCTTTGTTGTTTAACAGGAGTCTCACTATATAGCCTACACTGGCTTGAACTCAGGATAGTTCCCATGACTTAGGCTCCAAAATGCTGAGATTACTGCTGTGAGTTATCGTGACAGATTTCACACTTTTTCTAATTGTATATTTTGATGCTACAGATTGAACCTCAGATTGTCCATAAGCTAGGTAGACAGAAGGTATAGAACAAGCTATATACACAGCCCATACTCCAATTCTAGCAGATTTGACAGCCTCTGACCTCCAAAGGCACTAGGTATGTATATGATACCATATATATATGGAAACATTTTTTATATATGCAAGAAAACATTCATACACATAAAAATAAATTTAAAAAAAAATTAAAAAGGAAAGAAAGAAAGAAAGAAAAGAAAGAAAATTACCATCCTGGTCAGCGAGAAAGCTCAGGGGTAAAGGCACTTGCTGCCAAACCTGATATCCTCAGAACCTACAAAGTGAATGGAGAAAACTCATTCCCTTAAACTGTCCTCGGGTCTCCATTTCCATGCCACAGTAGGCTGGAGACAGGCAGGCGAGCACAAGTGAGGCCCTATCTCAAAAATAAATATTAAAAATAATAAACTTAGATAAAATTCTAAATTAGAGAACATGTAGATAAATGAAGGTGAATCGTGTTCGTGGACCTAGAGTCAGTGTCGGGGACTGGAGAGGTGACTCGGCAGTTACGAGCACGGGCTGCTGTTGCAGAGGTCCTAAGTTCTGTTCCCGACACCTGTGTCAGATGGCCCACAGCTACCTGGAACTCCAGCTCCAGGGCATACAATGTCTCTGGCCTCCACAAGCACATTCACACGTGTACTTATTCACACAGATATCCTGAAACTCATCCTGTAGACCAGGCAGGCTTTGAACTCAGAGATTTGTGTGCCTCTCCTAGGACTAAAGGTGTTCACCACCACCACCTGGTTGGTTTTGTTTTTTTGTTTTTGTTTGTTTGTTTGTTTTGGGGGGTTCATTTTGTTTTCATTTTCCTATTAAAAGATTTATTTAGTTTACTTAACCATGTATGAGTGTCTTGCTTGCATGTATGTATGTGTACTATGTGCATGTCTGGTGTTCAAGGAGGCAAGAAAAGGGGTTTGTATCTCCAGGAATTGCAGTTATAGACAGTTGTGGGCCATCTTGCAGGTGCTGGGAACTGAACTCAAGTCCTCTGGAAGAACAAGTGCTCTTAACCCTTGACCAGCTCTCCAGCCTCTAAATGTGGCTTTTATTAAAAAAAAAAATCAGGGTGGAAATGTGAGTAGAAACATACAAGTTGAGCTTCCTGGAAGGGATGCTCTGTATGAAAAGCATCCCTGATTGCTAGAGTCAGGCTCCTATCCTGACTACACCCTTGGATGGTGACTCAGTTTTACCTCTTTTATTTCTTTAGTCTCTGGAAAGGAGCATAGAATCTTTAATCAAAGTGTTCTTTGTCAGTAGTTGCCTTGGGCCTAATTTGTTATGATGGACAATTATCTGACTCATGAAAAGCCATTGTTCCTCCTTCATAGCTACCTAAGTGTAACCGGCAAGGCAGCTCCATTAATGTTCAACAATTCTGCAGAAGACAGAATTCGAGTCAGCCAATGTTTTTTATATTAAACCTTGCCAACCTAATGACAACCTACCCTAGACGTATACACCATCAAAATTAAACCAATATACTATTAAAACTAAATGGTTTCTTTAAATGTTACAACAAATACAAGAGAAATCATGGAAACCAGACCACAGATGGTTCTTTTATGAGGTAATCCTGGTGATTCAGAATATGTTTCTGTTAAAGCTAGGCATGGCAGCACATTCCTGTAATCCTGGCACTCAGAGGGCAAAGGCAAAAAACAGGTAATTATTGCAATGTTGAAACCAATTTGATTTACATGGTGACCTGCAAGTTAGCCAAGGGCACTATGAGACTGTTTTTGGAGGTCCGAACCCAGGGCCACTCACTGCTAGGCAAGTACTCTATCATGGAGTGA